CCCCCCCCCCCCACCCCCGACCCCCGACCGTGTCTCCTGCATTTCCCGCAACTCATCCCTCACACCCCCTCCCCGCAATAACAACCAAAACAGAATCCCCCTCGTCCTCACGTTCCACCCCACCAACCTCCGGATCCAATGCATCATCCTCCGACACTTCCGCCATCTGCAATCTGACCCCACCAAAGACATTTTTCCCTCCCCACCCTTATCTGCTTTCCGGAGGAACCACTCTCTCCGGGACTCCCTTGTCTGCTCCACGTGCACTTCTGCTAATGTGGGATACTGTATCCGTTGTGGGTTCCTCTACATCGAGGAAACCAAGCAGAGGCTTGGGGACCGCTTTGCGGAACACCTACGCTCGGTTCGCACTAAACAACTGCGCCTCCCAGTCGCGAACCATTTCAACTCCCCCTCCCATTCCTCAGACATGTCCATCCTGGGCCTCCTGCAGTGCCACAGCGATGCTACCCGAAGGTTGCAGGAACAGCACCTCATATTCCGCTTGGGAACCCTGCAGCCCAAAGGTATTAATGTGGACTTCACAAGCTTCAAAATCTCCCCTCCCCCTACCACATCCCAAAACCAGCCCAGCTTGTCCCTGCCTCCCTAACATGTCCTTCCTCCCACCTATCCCCTCCTCCCACCTCAAGCCCCACCTCCATCTCCTACCTACTAGCCTCATCCCGCCCCCTTGACCTGTCCATCCTCCCTGGACTGACCTATCCCCTCCCTAACTCCCCACCTACACTCACCTTTACTGGCTCCATCCCCGCCTCTTTGACCTGTCTGTCTCCTCTATCCATCTTCTATCCGCCTCCCCCTCTTTCCCTATTTATTTCAAAACCCACTTCCCCTTCCCCTCCCCCATTTCTGATGAAGGGTCTCGGCCCGAAACGTCAGCTTTCCTGTTCCTCTGATGCTGCTTGGCCTGTGTTCATCCAGCTCTACACCTTGTTATTTCAGATTCTCCAGCATCTGCAGTTCCTACTATCTCAGAAGAAATATTGAGTTAGTTTAGAAAACAGATCATGCACATCAGTTCCCAAATGCGTTTCTCCAAGTCTGCAGCCATTACTGAATATGTAAATTTATGATGTCCGCTAACTCATTTGTTGGCCGTCATTACGTATGTACACAACTTCAGCTATTGCCCTTTAGAATTGTGTGCTGGTTGTTTCATACAAGTCACTAACCCTAAAAAGGTGTTTATCACTGCTGGTCTACATGTTTGCTCATTGGCAAACTGGGCTACTCTGTTACTGTCCATCTATTTTTAATCCATTCAAAGTATATTTTACTGAAATTTATAACAGACAGACCATGAGTCATTGCTTGATAGTGAGAGAAAGCAGCTGAGATAATGAGCCTGACCAGACAACAAGAGACCAACTGCGAGGGAGCAAAACCAAGTAATAGAGTCTGATCGACTGACAAGAGAACAGCGAGGGAGACAGATTTTTTCATCCCACAAACATGCAATTCAAACATAAATTCTAGCTGCGTGCTCACTAACTGCACCACTCAGTAATATTAGGAACAAGCTGACGTTCAATCCATATTCTTATTAAATCCAGTAAACTGGAAAATTCAAGAGAATTCTGAAAGGTGAAGCATGTTCACACAATGACATTATAATTAGTACAGCTTCATCTCCCCACAATTAGTTGTAATTATGCCACATGCTCGCGGAGAAACCAGTCAAAAGTCGTTTGCAGGCTTTTAGCGGTTGGTGAGCTGGCTGAAACATTACTGATTGAACACTGGCTGGCTCTGCACATTAATAAACTGTTTTATTTGTTCCAATATTATGAATTGTTTAATAATGTTAGAATAATTTTACAAAACAGGTACCACTTCAACAATGGGAGCTATGAAGCTGATCCATATCATTTCTGCACTTATACAGATAGAATGATTAGACTTTTTTCGACAACAGGCAATAATAGTAAAAACACAATTATACAGAGAACAATTTCACCAGACAAGTTAGACTTAAAACAATTTTCTAGATTTTGAACTGGCTATCGGGGCATCCAACTGCATTGAATGGAGCTGGATATCAGGATGTCATTATGCACTGAATGGAGTGGATACTGGGGTGTCCCTGTGAACTGAATGGAATAGGTACTGGGGTATCCATATGCATTGAATAGAGCTGGGTATCATGGTGTCATTGGGCACTGGATGGAGCTGAACAGCAGGGTGTTGCTGTGCATGGAATGGACCTGGATATCAGGGTGATCTTGTGCACTGAATGGAGCTGGATATCAGAGTACCCCTGAACACTGAATGGAACTATTTAGAAAGTGTATAGGTGCTCCTATTCACCTTCATAAAAACACTGAAGACAAAGGTGGTTGGATGCTTTTTTTCTGACTCATTTAATTGTGTGTCATAAAATAGGCTTAATGGAAGAATAATAAGCAAAACCCCATTTACGAAGGTTAGATATCACAGTGTTTTGTTTTTACTCTGATTCAAACACACAAAAGAGTCTGTCTACTCACATCTTCGTTTGTTGTCAGGTTGGAAGCCACCAGGTATGTGTGGAACCCCGAGAGGCCCAGAATGGACCAGACTGAGAAAAAACAGACCACCAGCTCAAGTGCGGTAAGTGGAGTCAAGGAAAATAAAATCAGAGTTCAAACCCAACACAAATTCTCTTAATACCCATCTTCCTTGCCCCCCCTCACAATGCAGATTGTTAACGACTCCTGACCTGTACACAGGTGATTCATTCAGCCTCCTTCAGAAGTGGTTTCTGTCTACCGCAGTCTTACTGTCATCACAGTTTTATTATTTTAACAAATCCTTGATTTTGACACGGGGGTGGCTCAGAGATTTATAATGAGTCTGCTGTCACCAGTTCAGTAAAGTACTTTGCAAAGTACTGCACTAAGGGCCACAGCTTGCTAATACCTGCGAGTTGAGACCAAAGATAATATTTCTCTCACTGTGAAGAAAATTAAAACACCTACTGTCTCCAGTCCAGTAGGCAAAAGTACCACTCAGTTTAATACTAAACATACAGGACACACAACGCCAGGTTCCATCACAGCTCTATTACAGATTCAGCTGGTGAGTCATTTGAGGCACTAGAAACTAGTCTGAATGCCCTGGGATACACAAGGGAGGAGACAGAAGAAAAAAAAATCTCACAGTATCCCTGTTTCCATTCATTCCAGCATAGACAACCTTCACCCTCAAGCATTTTCTCCCCCCCAACTATCCAGACTTGCACTTAAAACTGGCATCCATGGTATTTCAGGAAGGATAAAACCAATGGGAATAAGAGTCAGTCTCCATGGAACTGTTCCCCAATGGAAGTCAGTGCCTTTAGAAAGGCGAAAGTAAAAATTATAAATCAGAATTTTTATAAAGTTGGCAGCCTCCCCTTCCTTGATCATATGAGTCCCTCCAAATCAGACAACTGCGTTGGTGGTACCATGTCAGAGCAAGAAAAGGATATCTTGCTGGAGTTTCCTGGAGTGCATTTAACAATCCAGTGTTCTGAGATCCTGGGAGGGTGAAAGAAGAAAAAATGGTCAGTGCAGTGTGGACTCCCCATGCTGAGAAAATGAGACTATTGTGCAGTATTGGGCAAATTGGTAGGTACAAACTGCATTTAACTCCATTCAAATAGCAACCTCCTTATGCCTATTTTTCAATTTTGTAAACTTCAAGCCAGGTGATATTCAAGTTCTCCCTAGGGAAACCATTAAGTATGAAAATTTACCTGGTTCACGATTCCTTGGTCCACTGATCTGAATCTTAGGCCCTGATCCAATGTTATTCCTGTGTCACACCACGGTGAAACTCAGCATAGGCACTGGACGTTTTCCACGTTGTGCAAATAGTATCCCTCATCGTTTCAAAGAACTCATTAATATGTTTCCGTTTTCGTTCCTATTCTCAGCATGGCCCCTCTACATCATTTCAGACAGCAATCTGATCCCACACTGGCCTTCCCTCCTGGTTTCTTCGAATGTTTATTCACATACCAGCTCCCACTCTACCCTATTTCTGGGAAAGTCTTTACTCCTGGATTGGCTCCTGCTTTGATTTGCATTGTCACCATATCAACATCCTGGATTTATATACCTGTTTTAAAATAACAAAAGAAGTTCCAAGGGAAACTTTCGGGGACTTACGGAGTGTAAGGTGAGTTATTACACAGGCAAATATGAAAGCAGTTAGAAAGGAAAGTGAGAGCAGAAACATGTAGAAAAATCTGTAATTCCTTTTTCCGACGCAGTTTCCGACCCAAGGACAGTGATGGTCAAATCGTTCTGTAAGAAAAGGGACAAAGATTCACAGTAGTACAGCATACAGTGTCACTATCTCTTCTCCAAACACAACAGCTCAATACTTAAGACTCTAAGCAATAATCAGTCTCCCAGTCTTCACACTTCAGCCTTCAGCAACCTTCCAATCCACATCGTTTCGTCTGTCCGCACATGAACCATGCGTTCCAATTTCAGCTCTCAAAACCCAGAGAGGAGCAAGGTGGAGAAAGATCCCATCTGCGTCTGTGATATTTCCAACATCATTGACCAATTTTAAGATACCAGATTCTCACCTCCCTTTTTCACCATGGATGTCCAACTCCTCTCTACCCCTGCCTTCCCATTAGTATTGCCAGAGTACTCTCCACATTTCTTCCCTGAACGCAGACTCAACTAACATCCATCCACCCACTATCAACCTCTACTTAGTTGAATCTGTTCTTACATTGAAAATCCTTGTCTTAGACTTTAAGATTTCTTATAAGTCAAAGGTATTTCCACAGGAACCATATGCCTGAATTTTTGCAGACTGTGTGGAAGATTCTACATTCCAGTCCTAAAGTTTCCTCCTTCATCACGTTTTTCAGTGCATTACTAATTAATTCCTGCTGTCATCTCAAACTAGAAAATGTAATCAACTTTGTAACCAGTTTCTCTTCTTTGCTTGGTTCATCTTTGAATCCATCCTTTGACTTTTGTTGCCCCTTTTCAGGTTTTCATCTGCTTCTATCCAGTATCCACTTCAAGGGCACCAATTTTCCTTGCAGAATTGCCAATACATCTTTCTTTTGCTCAACTGGGCTTTCCTCTCCAAAAAAGCTTGATCATGGCTCATCTCCTACACTCTCACCTTCCCTTCCTTTTCCACAATTTTGAGTGGGATTCCCTTGTCTGCATTGCCATCCCCTACTATTTCTGTTGCCTCTAGCATGCTGCTGAAAAGGCAATACAGCGTCTGAGCTTGCCCCACCATTTAATAAAATAACGGCAATCCAAAGGGTTTTTTTTTTAAAAACATGACATCCTGGTATATTAATCATGCAACTAAACACTCCAGTCTTTCTCACATTTCTAACCCCTCCCATCTCATTAGCTAGGGCCCCAAACGCTCCTTCCACGAGGAAAGAAATTTAATATACCATATTTAAAGCTCATGATGCTGTCTTGCCACTGGGGTGAACAAATACAGATTGTGAGATCACTTTGCTTAACACTTATGTTCAGTCCACAAACGTGACTTTGAGCTTTCCATCACCTGTCATTTTAATTCTCTATCTCACTCTTCCACTAGTTTCTTAGAACATAATATCCATTAAGGGGAGGCAATGGCCTAGTGGTATTATTGCTAGACTGTTAATCCAGAGTCCCGGATAACATTCTGGGGACCCGGGTTCAAATCCCGGCACGGCAAATCAACATGTATGGAATTAAGAATCTAATGATGACCATGATTCCATTACCGACTGTTGCAAAAACCCACCTGGTTCACGAATGCCCTTTATGGAAGGAAACTGCCATCTTTACCTGGTCTGGCCTACGTGTGACTCCAGACCCAAAGCAATGTGGTTGATTCTGAACTGTCCCCTGGGCAATTAGGAATGGACAATAAATGCTACCTAGCCAGCGATGTCCTTATCTCGTTAATGAATAAAAAAATTTCAATTTTTCAACTTTACAGAACAGCATTGAATTCCACAATGTCAAATCATGACCGGCATGGCTTCTGACTTTGGAAGTTGATGCCATGCATGGACTTCGAAGGTGCATGCAGAGGTTAAAAAACCTTAGGTAACTTTAATCATAACCTCTGCCTCATTTCTCCCCCGCTGAACACAAGTAAATGCTTTTCTCATTTTATCTCCTCAAAAACATTTTTTTGATTATTTCACCTGTCCCCTTAAAATCCCTATGGTCTAACACCGCAATCCCTTTTCTCCTTTAATCTCCCCTGCTTTCCACCTTCCTTTTTACATTTTCCTCCTTTCCCTTTGACTTTGCTCCACTTTCCCTTTCTCAGATTGTTTAAAATCTGCTTTATCTCTAGTTTTCCAATTCCAATGAAAAGTCATCACTAAAAAATTAAGCGTTTTTCTCCTGAATATTTCCAGCATTTTCTGTTTTTGTCAGATTCCAGCATCCCCATTAATTTGATTTTGTATAAGGGTTTAAAGATAAGATGCTGTCAAATTGAGAGTTTTAGCTCAATTCCCACCCATAGTCCAACAGGTAGATGATGAAAGAACACAAGGATAAGGTTTAATGCCCAGAACTACATTGTTGGGATTCAGTGAGGGCAAATAAGTTCTTGATCAAAATCATTTATTGTTGGAAAGTAAATGGGGGACATTAATAAGGACAGTATCAGGACAGGCTTTGATTGAATGGTCAGTTAACACTCAAGATTTGAGGCAAAGTACCAGGTAGGCCATTGGCATCCACGGCACTGGACTCCAGCAATGAAGCAATGCCCACAGGGAAAAAGGCTTCCATCAACCAGCTCCCTGCGCTCTGGCTGCCCTCATTCAGTTTCTTGGACTCTTACTGATGTTCCAACACTTAGCCTCACCCTACACTCACCAACACAGTTGTCACACAGACTACAGTGTGATGTCCGTGGAGGCCGGAACATTTTGCAGCTGAAGCAGTACTTGAGTTTCACTGTCTGTCCATTTATCACCACTTCCTTTGTACGAGGTGGGGGCCGGTAACCTGATCCCCCAGGGTTATCTGGAAAACAAAGGAAGATTTGTTGTAGTGTACAGGGAATCAGGGGCTTCACCCAACTAAAACATTACAACAGTCTGAACCGCAGAAGCCCCATTAGTCTGGGGCTTAGAAGTAATTGTCTCCCAATTGTCCCCTCCCAAGCTGCATTCATGTCTCTTGCTGGGGTACAGGTTGCACAAACATGATAAGAACAGAGGCCATTCAACCCAATCTCCAGTTCTGGCATTAATGTGTGTATCCTTTAGTTCCATAACTTCTAATATCCTTGTCTAATACCAATTTATTGGTCTCAGTTTTGAAAATGTTCAATTCATCCCAGTTCATAGGTTCCGCTTTGGAGTAAAGACAGAGTTCGAGATTTACACTGCCTTTTGTATAAAGCAGCATTTCCCGACCATCACTCCAAGCAGCCTGAATCCAACTTTACAGTTACATTCCATTGTTCAGGATTCCTTCATCAACAAGTATTGAATTGACATAGTACCTTTAATTTAGGGAAAGTCACAGGACCATTATTAAACATAACTTGAAACCAAGCCACCATAGGAGGCAGAGAAGAAGAGTGGGTTTTAAAATGACTGAGAGGCAGATATGTTTAGGGAGGAAATTCTGGAGTTTAAGGCCCTGGCAACGGAATGCACAGCTGCCAAAAGTCAGAAGAAATAGGTTGGTTAGACAGAAACCATCAACTTCTTTAATCACATTTCCCCTATGTCTTTGCTACTCAGGGAATACCAATCTTGTCGATGCAACCTGCGTACACAATTTAACCACTTTAGCCCTCATGTTATTGATTTTAGTCCTGCTCCCAACTCCAAGGTGAACATATCCTCCAGTGCCCTGCCAGAGTACAGTTTACACAGTCTGTTAACTTGACAGCCCTGCCACTCCCATCATGCAGGAGGCACTCAGTTACATTGTTATATAGCAGTAAAGCTACCTATCTGCCTCTCCAGATCGGCTGCTTCATCCGGAGTGGCTCGTGGAAGAATCCCAGGGTCCGTGAAACTTGTGTGTAGCAAGGTGCTCACCACAAACAGAAAGAGCAGCCCTGCAATAATCGGAATGGCCAAAGTCAGGTTCTCCGTCAGGTAAGGACAGCTGTCAAAACAAAATGCAGACAGTTTCCATCAACTTGAATATTGGGGAAGATGTTTGACAAAGTCACGCAAGCAAAGTAGGAAAGGAGCTTATTAATCCATTGTTCCTGTCTGGCTTCAGTCTGTATTTTATTCACTATATATGCTTTAGGAAATATCAGGGAGGGGGGCGAAATTGCAGTTCACAGAATCAGGAAATTGTGCTACTACAGACAACAGTTGATCCAGCAGTGCAGCCCCTCAGCCCCAGGCACTGTCCTTCTGACGCTTAGAATTCTGCAAGGGGAGAGAAGAATTTCACTCACTATCACAATGACGAAACAGCAGAATTGATCAATATTAGACTTTGAAGGGGAGACTAGAAAGTTAGACCATTGTATACAGAGCCTTCTCTCAGTCCACAGCAAGGACCACAGCTTCCAGTCCTGCCTGAGAAAATTCACTACAGCAACCTGCTACATTTCATTAACAAAATGTTTCAATTATTTCATCACTGTTCCATGGGGCGCCCATGATCACGTGAAATGGTACTTGATTTGCTGAGAGCAGGAAGGGATAGATCACCAATTCTGGATTCCTGTCAGTCTGTATTAGTGACCACTGGATCCATGGCCTAGCCTGTTGCGTTCTGTTAGCTGATCATTAATGGAGAAGCAAAATGGGAATTCAGCTCAGATTCTGGGAAGTATGTATTAGCCAGCATGTACGGAGGCACTACCAAGAGATTACAACATTGGTATAGGCTGTTCAGTCCACATTTGTTTATTATTGTCACATGTACCAAGATACAGTGAAAAATATTGTTTTGTGCGCTAACCAGACAAACGATACCTGACATAAGTACATCACAACAAAATGCAGAATACGGTGCTACAGCTACAGAGAAGATGCAGAGAAAGATCAACTCTAATATATGAGTCAGTTCACAAGTCTGATGACAGCGGGGAAGAAACTGTTCTTAAATCTGTTGGTATCTGTTTTCAAACTATCTTCTGCCGATGCAAGAGGGTGGAGGAGACTGGAAGAGACTATAAGCAGGGTGAGAGGGATCTTTGATTACGTTGGTTGCTTTCCCAAGGCAGAGGGAAGTTTGGACGGAGTCAATAGAAGGAAGGCTGGTTTTTTTTGTGATGAAGTGGGCTGCATTCACAACTCTCTAATTTTTTGCGGTCTTGTGCAGAGCAGTTGCCATACCAAACTGCGATGCATCTAAAGACAATGCTTTCTATGGCGCATCTACAAGAATTGGTAATGCCGAATTTCCTTAGCCTTCTGAGGAAATAGAGACATAGCTGTGCTTGCTTGACTGTAGCATTGACGTGGATGGACCAGGATAGATCATTGATGATATTTACTCCTGGTAAAGCTCTCAACCACTTCGACCTCAGCACCACTGATAGAGACAGCGGTGTGTCCTCTACTCTGCTTCTTGAATTTGATGACCAGCTCATTCCTTTTGCTGACATTGAGGGAGATTGCTTTCTTTACACCATGCTGTTAACCCAATCTATCTCTTTCCCATACTCTGTCTCGTCATTGTTTGAGATCAGAACCACTACAGTGGCGGCATCAGCAAATTTGTAAATAGAGTTAAAGCTGAATTTGGCCACACAGTCATGAGTGTACAAGGAGTATAGTCAGGGGCTGAGTATGCAGCCTTGCGGGGCACTGGTGTTGAGGATTATTGTGGAGGAGGTGTTGTTGAACATCCTTACTGATAGTTTGGAACAGCAATCATTAACCCTCCACACAAGCAGCATCATATCAAATCAGTCAAGACCCCTTTATCACCTCCATAATCATTTTGACATGGCCTCTTTTTCAATCATTAACCACTGAGCATTCATTGCTTTCAGCCCAGATCATTAAGCATTGCTTGGAAGATGCAGCTAAAATGGCCAGTCTCAAGTGTCACTCTGAGTGGCACAAGATCAAAGGAGGAATAGGAAGAATGGAATTGGAGTTCATAAGATAGTCTGATTTCATCTAAGAATAAAACAGGAATGAATAAACTCTAAAGACTAATTTTATTTTCTGTATTTTTGATTGTTGACTAAAATGGAAAAAAAGAGACTGTTTAAACCTAAGGACTGCAGAAGGAATTACTGAATTTTTAAAAACAAGTTACAAGTTACTGAAACTCATTGTGTGTAGTGTTTACACTGCTGCTTTGTTCAAGTAGTGGAAGATATTTGTAGATGGCACAGCACCAGAGGGTGTGTCCACAGTGAGATCTGGCTGACAAATAGCCGGTTTGTGCAATTATGACCAGTCACGAATATCAAAACTCATCAGCCTGACAACAACTCTCTAGTTCCTGGGTATCTAAACAGCTTGTAGGAGAAGCCATTGAGTTTGCTGGAAGGGCAGTTGTGTGTTTGTCTGTGTGTCTGTCTTTCTCTCCGTGCAGTAAAAATACCTGAAGATAGCTGGTTATTTTGTTTCACCAGCTGCTGTAAGCTGCCACCTCTAATTAGTAACTAAGAGAATTTGCACTTAGTATACTAATTGCCCTCTGCCTCCTGAAAGAATTGAAAGAACCTGTAAAAGGAAACTGAAGAACAGAAAGTCCAAGCAAGCAAAAGGCCAGTTTCAAATGAATTCTATGGACTGGTACTAATGGACTGTGTTCCCCAGTTTCTTCCTCCACCTTCAAAAACCAATGCTTTTGGTTTGTCTATGTCCGTGCGTGCAGGAGGTTTTAAAAGTTGGAGAGAGTTTCAATTCGTACAACCATATGTTGATAGTCCATAGCTGTTTACCTGTGGTTAGAATTTTATCTGTAGTAAACAATAGATTTTGTCAGCTACAGGAACTTGGTTAATGCTTTCCGTTAAGCCAATTCCAACAAACAGATAAATCAGGGAGTTTGTGAGATTTGATTAAATGATTAACTTCTGTGGCAACTCAGAGTAATGCTACTTGGGAATCAGTGCACTTCCCCTCATGGGTGGTAACACGGTCTACTATCCTGCTCCTAGAGATGATATTGAAAGAGGTTGTTCACTCTTGTACACTCCTGTGTGGTGTCTGTCTGTCTATCCGTCTCTCTGTCTCTCACTCACACACACACTCGGCACAGGCAGCTTAAGGACATCAAACATCAACAAGATCCTAATTTTGCTGAGTTCTCCCACCCTCCAGCATGCTCTAAAATGTTCTATGACAGCAGGCATCCAAATTTGGTTACTGTTTCTCTAACATACCATGGGTACAATCAGCAATAAGATGGAGTTACACGGGGCACAAACAAATTTCAACACAAGGGCCGAGCAGGGCAGAATCTTGCTGTTGCCTGTGTATTGCATTTGCAGAGCTCATCAACTAATATTTCAAGGAATTCCTAATTCAAACATTTTGCAATTCCTCAGTGAGCTGCTGAACAAAAATGACTCAAAGCAACAACAGATTTAATATAACTGCCTGATGGGTACCAATTCTGCCTTTACGTCACTTGATTCAATCATCATCTTGTGCTGGTGAACGGCAAATCACATGATAAAAAGATGTACAGCATTTCAGCTCAGAGAAGCAATTCTCATAAAGTCACGCATCTCCGAATGCAATTATTGATAGTATTCCAGTAAATCACATGCAGCTATTTCCAAAACTATGGAGACTTCCTCAGGATGAGTCACAGGTTAGGACATTAATCTCCGAATAAAGCATCTGACACACAGACATCAACACAAATAAAACAAAGATGCTGGAGATCTGAAACAAAGAACAGAAACTGATGGCAAAACTCAGATTTGGCAGCATCTATGGGAAGAAAGCAGAGTTAAAATTGAGTCCAGGGGCTGGGTAAATTTTATATACAGCTTACTACATTCCCCCAGATCCAATGGGCTTTTATTTCTTTTAAACCAGTTTGCCATGTGGACCTTGTCAACACCTTGCTAAAACCATGTACATCATATGAACTGCACCACCCTCATCAATCCTCCTTGTTAATTCTTCAAAAAAAAAAAAAAAAGAAACAAAATTCAGATGAAGTTAGGAAAAAAAATTCCCTTAGCTTTAATTCTACATTTTGCAATCGAACCAACTGTTTTATCCATGCTCCTGCATAGTTCCGATAAAGCTCATTCAGGCTTGAGTAGTAGTACCTGGCCTTTTGAATAAGTACTTTTACAGCTTTCCAGACACAACCTCTGACTTCCATTTTGTTTCCTTACCTCTGCAGGGCTTTTAAACTTGTTTTTCTTGTTTTTGCTTTCAGACAATAACTATTGGTTCTGCCATTTCATTTCCACAAGACTTTTTTTTTTTGTTTACATATCCTTTTGGCCCTAAATCATCACTCTTTTAGTTTGATCTTTCCTGCCCTTCCCTACATCCTTCCTGCTTTTCCTCCCTGAAAACCTACATTTCAAACTATTTCCAGTTTTGAAGGTTGGTGACACGAAACATTAACTGTTTATTAAACACCTTTCTTTTTAAAGAAAAAAGTTTCCATCTTTTTCATTATGGCCTGAAGAGGAAAAAGCCTGTTTAAAACCAATGATTGTGGGAAGGATTACTCCGCTTTTTAAAAACGAGTTACCCACCACTCATTTTAAATTATTGTTTACATGGCTGTTTAAACAGTAGGTGGAGGTTACTACAGACAAGCTGCAACCATGGGCAGTGTACAAAGAGAAATTCAGCTGGCAACAAGTAGCTGATTGGTCTGTGATTTGTCATCGATAACTGGTCAAAGGCAAACCTACAAATCAATGTGGAAACAATAAAATGCTGGAGATCACAGTGGGTCAGGCAGCATCCATAGACAGACAGCATGGATGCTACCTGACCTGCTGTGATTTTCAGTAATTTTTCAGAACAGATTCCAGAATCTGCAGTAATTTCCTCCTACGAACCAACATGATTGGCTTCCAAATGGCTGAACAGCTTGTGGAGCTGAATGTTTGTTCAGACGTTATTGGGCCTTTGGAAAGAAGGGAGCTGTTCTGTTCTGTGAGATAAATAAAAAAAACACCAACCCTGAAAAGTACAGGAGAGAGAGACAGGTTAGTGGCATGGTGTAAAGACAACAAATCTCTCCCTCAATGTCAGCAAAATGAAGGAGCTGGTCATCGACTTCAGGGAACAGAGTGGAGGGCATGCCCCTGTCACTGTCAATGGTGCTGTGGAGGTAGTCGAGCTTCAAAGTTCCTAGGACTAAATATCACCAACGATCTATGCTGGTCCATCCATGTTGCGCTACAGTCAAGAAAGCACACAAATGCCTCTACTTCCTCAGAAGGTCAAGGAAATTCGGTATGCCCGCAATGACTCTTTCCAATTTTTACAGTTGTGTCACAGAAAGCATCCTACCCAGTTGCATCACAGCTTTAAGAACAGCTTCTTCCTCCCCACTGTCATCAGAACAGACTTCTCATGTGTGGGTTTCCTCCAGGTGCTCCAGTTTCCTCCCACAGTCCAAAGATGAGCAGGCTGGGTGGATTGGCCATGCTAAATTGCCCATAGTGCTCAGGGATGCCTAGATTAGGGGGAGGAGTCTGGGTGGGATGGTCTGAGGGTCGGTGTGCACTTGTTGGAGCAAAGTGTCTGCTTCCACACTGTACAGATTCTAAGAAATACAAGAGTTGATCTTTCTCTGTACATTCTCCGTCACTGTAACACTATTTTGCATTGTGTTCTATTAACCTGATATGCTTATGTAAGGTATGATTTGACAGGTTATCAAGCAAAACAATACTTTTCACAGTATCTCAATACATGTAACAATCAAATCAAGAAAGTCAGCATATTTTCTTCATCAGTTGCTGTAAACTATGGCTCTTAACCAATATATCAAAAGCTTTACAAGTGTGAACCAGTTGTCGAGTGCTGCCTCCAAGCAAGTGCATGTCCCTGGAGGAGAAAGATGGAGGAGTAGCAAGTCTTGACAGGGACTACTGAATTTTCCCAGCCTTTCCCTCCACCCTCAACACCTATTTTATTTGTCTTGCCTCTATATGTAAGAGGAGATTTAAAGGTTAGAGTTTTATCTAATATGTATTAACAGTTCATTACAATGTACATGCAGCTAGAATCTAGTTATTTGCAATAAACAGTAATTCTTGTTAACTAGAGAAACCTGGTCTTTGCTTTCCATCAAACGGAGTGTAAAAGACAGGCAAACTGGGGAACCTAGTACACTTTTTAAAAAATTTTAAGAACGTTGGTGATGACTCTGGGAATGGCAAGGCTTGATTTCCAGCACACTAGCCCAGTGAGGCATAACAATTTTTCTTTCCACAGAACATGCATGACTTGCTGACTATTTCCAACAGTTTCTTTAATTTCAAATTTCCGGCAGTCTGCAGTATTTTGCTTTCATAAGAATACAGGGTGATCATCAGTACAGTCACTTCAATCCATAGAACTGGAGAACGAAAAAGGCATAACTCTTATTACTAGTCACTGCGGGGATCAGACACTCAAGACTGTCTCAAATCGTCAATCCTATAACTCGGAACCACCAACACAAGATCCATCTCGCCGCAGACCATACAAATATTATTGGCTATTGTCTTCAAAATACACCCAGTCCAACACACTGACTGTGAGCTACTTTCTCCAATATACACTTGACTCTGGGCTGCCGTCCGAACACCCGCAAGCACAACACACACCGACTGTGGAACACACACTTTTCCCTCAGACCGACGGAACTTAAACAAGAGAAACACTTACTCGAAGCCGAAGAAGAGGCCGCTGGTACTAAAGATCAAGCCCAGAGTCAGGTAAAAGGCGCCGCTCTGCCGTCCGCTCATCAGCCGCCCATCGCAGAAGAACCGGTTCTTTCCCGCAAACGACTCCCACTTGCGCCGGCGCCGCTGCTTCCCTGTGGCCGGGGCCTGGGGGCCAGGTGTGGAGCCGTTCCCGGGCGCCAGCGCGATCTGCCGGTACTCGCACTCTTTCATCATCGGAGCCACAGTGATTTGCCCCTCACGGCCCTGGGTTGCAGCTCTCGGCGTTACTCACGCGGTCCCTAGGCCCAGGCCCGCTCCCCGGCTGCTGGAAACAGCCGCGCTCAACATTCGGACCCCAGCAACCGAGGAGCCGAAACCAAATACAGGAAAGAGTAACCAAAATATCCCACCTCCACAAAGACCGCCACCTAGCAGTGCCGAGGTAGACTCCCAGTATTCAACACTACCGCCACCTAACGGCTCGGAGGCAACACCACACAACTGGCGACTAGGAAGAAACAGCCCAAGCTCCAGGAACACCGCCACTTGACGGTTCGGAGGAGAATTGGTTTCCACCAACATCCATTCAATATTCTCATTTGGTGGCTTGGAAACCCAGCAACGCTGCCCCCTTGCGGCTGCTTTGAGCTGAACGCTTAATTCAGTTCCCCTCCATAGACACTACCCGATCTACTAATCTTTTCTTGCATTGTGTTTTTACTTCAGAAATATAAAACTGGCCTCCAACAACGCCGCTGCCTCGCCACTCGGAGAAAGGGGGAAATCCATCAATCTTCAATAACACCGCCATTTGGCGGGTCGGAAACAAGGAGACAGCCTCCGACACCACCACCACCACCTGGCGATCAGGAGAGCTACATCAGCCCTGGCGGGGGCAAATGTGCAGCCTCAAGTCTTAGTGATGGGAATATAAGATTCACAACATCATCCAGTAAAGATTCACAATAACAATTCCAGGGATTTGAAACTATATATATATATATATATATATATTTTCAGCCTGTTACACTGTGTAGTTTCTCCCAAGGCTGTATTAAAATTCTCAGGAGTGTCGAGAGCTTCAACTACATGAGCTCCTGAGATAGTAGGAACTGCAGATGCTGAAGAATCTGAGATAACAAGGTGTAGAGCTGGATGAACACAGCAGGCCAAGCAGCAGAGGAGCAGGAAAGCTGATGTTTCGGGCCTAGACCCTTCTTCAGAAGAGGCAGCTGGGAAAACTGGCAATTGTGGAATTGATGTGAAGTGTCAGAAGAACCATGAAGGTACGTAAGAAGAGACTGAAAAATGTCAAGGTAGAAAGAGACAAAAATAGAAATTGTTGGAAAAGCTAAGCAGATCTTCAGAAGAAGGGTGTAGGCCCAAAACGTCAGCCTTCCTGCTCCTCTGATGCTGCTTGGCCTGCTTCATCCAGCTCTACACCTTGTTAGATGAACTCCTGGATGGATTTCACCATGTCTGCCATAACACACACTAAATCCACTTTGCCCATTACCCATTGTTACAGTCACAGAGATTTTACAGAGAGTGGAAAGAGGTCATCCTTGCACTATTCAACATGTACTCCTTTGCCTTTTATGTCCACCCAATATTCATTAACTCCTAATCTGTTATCTGGCATGCCAATCTCTATCTTGCAGAGGCCGAGCTCCAACCCTCATCACTCCCTCCCATCTCCCCATGGGTCACAGCGCCGTTGCTGAAAATCAAGCTGTTATTCATCGGTCTATCACTGATATCACCACCTCAGGAGATTTTGTCTTCACAATTTCTAATCTCATAGCCTCCACCCTACACATATCTTCATCCCAAAACTAGAAACAGAACTATTCTAGCAGTCCTATTGTTTCAGCCAGTTCCTGCCCCACTGAATTCATTTCTTTCTACTTTGATAGAAACTGAAAGAATTGCAGATGCTGTAAATCAGAGACAAAAGTAGAAATTGCTGGAAAAGCTGAGCAGATCTGGCAGCATCTGCGAGGAGAAATCAGAATTAACCTTTCAGGTCGAGTAACCCTTCCTCAGAACTCAGTTTAGGTTATTTCTGATTTCTCTCCACAGATGCTGCCAGATCTGCTTAGCTTTTCCAACAATTTCTATTTTTGTCTCTTTCTGCCTTGACATTTTTCAGTCTCTTCTTACGTACTTTCATGGTTCTTCTGACACTTCACATCAATTCCACAATTGCCAGTTTTCCCAGCTGCCTCTTCTTCACTGTGGATGTGAAATCACTGCACATCCATCCCCCATCAGGATGGTCTGAAGGCTTCTGTTGCTTCCTTGAAAGGAAACTTAACAGACCCCATTCACTACAACACTCCGTCACCTGGCTGAGCTCGTTCTCACTGAACAATTTCTCCTTTAACTTGTCTCACTTCTGCCATGTCAGAGCAGCTATGTATACTCACATGGGTTTCCGAGAGGTGCATGAAACAGTTCTCTCCTTTCTCTAGCGCAACAATGACATCATTGGTGTTGCTTCCTGATGTCAGACAGAATTGTATAAGTTAATTAGCTTTGCTTCCAGTTTCCAACCTTCTCTCACCTTCACCTGATTCATCCCTGACTCTTCGCTTCCTTCGTTCCTGGACTTCACTGTTTCTATTTCTAGGCGTAGGCTGTCCAATGTCCACTACAAAACCATAAACTCCCACACTTATCTACACTTCTTCACCACCCACTTCCTACATGAACTTCATTCCATTCTTCTAGTTTCTCCATCTCATCTGTTCTAATGATACTTCCACCAGGATGCCTGACATGTTCACCTTTTTCCTCAACCAAGAATTTGCCCCTCTGGTTTACAGGGCTCTCAGCCACGATCATTTCCTGCACTTCTGCCCTCAGCCCTTTCCTTCCCTCCCAGAATAACAGGGTTGCCCATGTTCTCACTTTTCACCCCACTAGTCTCCACATTCAAAAGAATTATCCTCCACTATTATCCCCACTTCCAGTAGGATGCCACAAACAAAAACATCATCTCCTCCCTTGCTGGCATTCCATAGAAGTATTTCTGTCCACAAGCTAGTCCACTCCCCCATCACTTCGATACCTACCCCACTATGGCCCATTCCCATGCAAATCACAAAAGGTATTATAGATCATTAATATACACTACAAACAAGAAGGGACCCAACATAGAAACAAGTTACGTCACTGGACATAAGCTTCCAGTCACAAAAACAATTTTCAACTATGACCCTCTTCCTTTGCCACCAAGGCAATTTTCGATCCAATTTTCTGAATTGCCCTGGATTCCATAAGCTCTTACCTTCTTGACCAGTCTCCCATGTGAGACCTTGTCAAAATCTTTCCAAAGTCCATGGACACCACATTCCACTGCACTACCCACATTCACATATCTAGTTATCTCAAATAATCCAATTAAACCTGTCGAGCATCATCTTGCCCTGACACAGCCACGTTGACTATTCTTGGTTAACTCTTGCCCATGAGATTAATTCTGCCTGTCAGAGATCCCCCCCCACCCCTGGGTTCATTTACCAAACCTCCCTCCCCCCCCCACCAAAGTTTCCTTACCACTGATATTTGACTCACCAACCCATAGTTTCCTGGTTTATCCCTACCACCCATTTTGAATAATGGAACCACATTAGCTGTCCTTCTGTCCCACGGCATCTCTCCAGAGACAATTTAAAGATTCACAAAGGCCCTGCAATCTTTCACAGCAGCCATGAATACGTTGCAGCTGTGCCTGGCGTCTTATTCAATTTTACATCTATTAAAGCCACTAAAAACTTGTCCCTCTCAATTGTAATTTGTTCAAGTAAGTTTTTAAGAAAAGCACAGGAATGAGGAATGGTCCTGCAGAGGCTCAGGCTGTGATACACAAATCAAATTGGATTTAAGAATTGAGGAACAATGTTGAGATTTCTTGGTGACCCTATGTTGAGAGATCAGCCAAACTGTGACAGAGTCATACAGTCAGAGTCATGCAGCACGGAAACAGACCCGTCGGTCCACGGACCATGTTTCAGTTGTGAAAGGAGAGACGGAGAATGGTCAAGTGGGTGACAAATACAACTGAACATTGAGAAATATGAAGGAACACATTTTGGAAGTAAGAATATCCAATGGGAATAACATTTTAAATGTGTTACAATGAGCACAGAATATTTGATTTCAATACTCTGAACACAAGAACAGGAATCATGTCTGTGACATCATAAATAACAGACACGATGCTGCATAATTTCTGGGCAAATGAAATGGACTCAATGGGGAAGAAGTGAGTCTCTAACACAAATAGAAAAAACTAAGGCATCTGCCACCACCCTAAACTAAGATTTTGGAGGGGTTTGAGGAAATGCATTAATTTACATAATGTTGCCAAGGCCAACATTTATTGTTCATCTGTTATTATCCTCAAGAAAATAGTGGTGAACTGCCCTAAAATGCTCCAGAACACATGGTGAAAATGCCTTCATAAATACTGTTAGGTCGAAACTGTTACCTTGCAACAACACAAACAGGCAACATATGCTCAAACCACGATTGTGCATATTCCCATGTGCTTGGTGCCTTTACCCCTTTAAGTGTTTATTACTATTATATCTTAACAATTCTCTGTCCCTTTCTCCTTCAAATCCAGTATCACCCTCCACCTCAAAAAACTGTTGATCCCAGCATTCTTATAAATTACTGTCCCATCTCCAATTGCCTTTCTTCGACCATTATGTCACCTCACAAATTCAAGCCCATCTTTCTTAATTGTTTACATCCATCCAATTTTGCCCCCATCTTTGAGTTGAGATGCCTCATTAAAGTCACAAGTGATACACTAGTGATATTTGACAAAGGCAAATTATTCCACTTCAACCTGTCTGCAGCCTTTGATATAGATGACCACCAGATTCTGCTAGAGTGCCTATCCACAACCAGTTGATAGGGCTGTATTCACTTGGTTTCATTTCTATTGTCATAGCCAGAGAATCGCGTGCAGTGGCTTCTCTTCCCATGTCTGTATCATTACTTATGGTGTCCCTTCCAAAGATCTATCCTTAGCCCCCTCCCAACTGTCAGGTATACACAATACCTCAACACCATCACCCAAAAACAGAATGTCTAACTCTGTATAACACAGAACCCTGCTGACACCTCTCTTGACCCAATCATCTCAAGATTGCCAGACTTGTTCAATGTCACAAGAATAATTAAGGACAGACAACAAATACTGGCCTCGTCAGCAAAACTCTCATCCCAAAAATGGATAAAACAAGACTTAGATGAGCAGAAATTTACTTGAAATATTGGAAATACAAAAGCTATTGTCTTCAGCACCACCACAAATGCCATTCCCTTACCACTGACATCATCCCTCTCCCAGGCAACCACATAAGCTAACCCAGATAGTTCACAACTTTGGTGTTATAAATCACGTCAAGCTGAACTTCTTACCACCCATCCCATCATACCCAAACCCCCACTGTTGTGCCTAGACTTGATTATTCTAGTGCATTACTAGTTGGTTTTTCAGTTGTACCCTCCACAAACATGAGGTCATTCAAAACTCTGCTGCTCATGTCCTAATTCATTGCATCCCACTCACCCATCTCTCCCAGCTTCGCTCATTTACACTGGCTCCCAGTCAAGTAACACCTTAACTTTAAAGTTCTCATCTACATTTCAAATCTAAACATGGCTTTGAACCTCGTCATTTTTATAATGTCATCCATCCTCATAGATCCTCCAAGTCTTCACCCTGCCATTTTGGTCTCTTAAGCATTCCCAATTTTAACATTAGCAGCCATGCCTTCAGCTCCTTGGCTCTAAGCTCTAAAATTCCCTCCCTAATTCCTACACACTTTGATGCTTCTTAAAACCCACTTATTTGACCATGTGTTAGTCATCTGACCTAATAATGCCAAGTCAAGAGCCAAATTTTGTTCCATAGTATTCCTATAATAAATTTTAAAACATGTTATATTAAAACATTATATAAAAGCAAGCTGCTGCTGTAATGAGAAGTACTGACAAAATAGCCTTGGCAAGTTGCTACTGTACATATTAGATCATAGATCACAGAATCCCTACAGTGTGGAAACAGGCCCTTCAGCCCAACAAGTCCACACCAACCCTAAGAGCACCCACCCAAACCCATCCCCCTATAACCCACCTAATCTACACGTCCCTGAACACTGTGGGCAATTTAGCATGGCCAATCCACCTAGCCTGCACATCTTTCAAGATGGTACACATTAAGCAAGGTAGTGCTAATGGTAGGGGGAGCAGGGGATGCTGATCAAGTGGAATGCTTTGTCCTGCATGGTGGCAAGCTCCTTCAGTTGTTAGATCTGTGCACATCCAAGTGCAAAGTATTCTATCGTACTCCTGACTTGCACCTTTTAGGCAGCGGAAAGGCTTTGGAATTACCGCTGTCGAACACCCAGTCTCTGGACTTTACTTTTATCACAATGAATAGGATGTAACAAATCCTACATCTGGCAAGAAGACAAGGGAGAGAAAGCTGGCACTGGAGCTGGACTGTGACAGTCACAGGAACATCACTGCAGTGTGGGTTGGATACATGGTAGTATGTAACATCACTGCTCCCATGATAGCAGGGCATATCACCAGCCAACAAATCAGTCCATCAGTTTCTCTGGGATACTTCCATCTAGATGTGGCTGATACCGAGTTAGTCCCATGGATCAGAACTGGATCCATCCAACAGCAGGGACACATTAAATCGGCCTTGCATGTTTTGACCCAAATTCTGTAATATATTTCTCAACCTGTTATCCTGTATTGTTCTACAACCAGAGTTGATCTAGCAAGCTTGATCCTGACATCAACCCAGCACTCCTGAAGTTACTGTTATCTTAACCCCTTCATTACAGCTAAGTGCTGTGGCAAATCAAACAACTAAAAAGATCTAGTGCGAGAACCAAAATATTCCAAGCTGATTTCAACAAAACGGAGAATGGAAAAGGAGAGTGGTAGCTGTAACAAAAAATGATGAGCTTTATTGAAAAAGGATCAAGACAGAAGATAAGGAACTAGAATCAGTATTGGTGGAAATAAGGAATAATGAAGAGCAGAAAATACTGCCGTACTTACTTCACAGACTTCCTAAAAGTACTAAACTATTACACAGATTACTAATTAAACAGAGATTGTGAAAAGGGCAAATCATACTGGGTTTTAATCTTCAGATAGACTGGCCAAAATCAAGCTAGCAAAGTAGTGTGGAAATAAGTTCAGGTAATGGTTTTGAGACAGTTTCCTCGACCAATTTACCATGAAACCAATCAGAAATAAGGCTATTTTTAGATTTTGCATTGTGTAATAAGATTTAATTACTAATCTCATAGTAAAGAATCCAGTGAGAGAGAGTGATCATTATGCAAAGAAATGATTAAACAGAGTGAAATTGGCCTTATGAAAGCAAAATAGTTGTTGACAAATGTTTGAGTTTTTAAGGATATACTTAAAAATGTAGATGAAAGGGAACCAACAATTAAAATTTAGATTTTCAAAAGGCATTTGACAAGATTTCACATAAAAGGTTACCACACAAGAGCTCATTGGGTTGAGGCCAGATATTTTCATGGATAAAGAATTTGTTAACAAATAAAAAGCAGAAATAGGAACAAACAGGGCATTTTCATAATGGCAGTCTGGAAGCTCAAATATTTGCAATCTGTATCACTGATTTAAATGGAGCAACTAAGAAATAATGTATCCAAGTCTGCAGAAGATACAAAGCTGGACCAGAAAGTGGCAAATACAAAAGGTTGCAAGGGAATACAAGCTGTTTAAATGAATCAATAACAAAGGTGGCTGCTGAATTATGATGCAGATCAGTGTGAAGTTATTCACTCTGGTACAAATAGAAAATCAGAATATTTTATAAATGTTGGTTTTAGAGATTTTTGCGTAGGCACATACAAGCACACAAAGTTCATGTGCAGGTACAACAAGAAATTAGGAAGACAATTGGCACATCAGCCATTATTAAAAGGGGGTGCAAAAGAGTGAGGGTGTAGAAGAGTAGGATTGGAGTAAAAGAGTAAGCAATCTTCCTACAACTGTACAGAAGCTTGATGAGATCACAGCTGAAGTTTTGGCTCCTTATCCAAGAAAGGATATACCTGTCTCAGAGGCCAGCAAATATTGAATACATTGATTCCAGGGATGAAAGAATTGCCCTACGCTGGCAGGTTGTGTAGAATGGGACTATACTTTTGGAATTTAGAAGAATAAAAAGGTAATCTCGCTAAAACACAAGATTCTGAGGGGTTTGTAAGAGCAGATGTTAAGAGGTTGTTTCTCCTGGCTGAAAAGTTCAGGACTTTTTTTGGTGGGGGGTGGAATTAAGTAAAGGGTCAATAATTTAAGATTGAGATAGGAGAAACTGCTTCAGAGAGTGTATTTGGGTGATTTTAATGCATATAGACAGTATTAATCAAGTTGGCAAGGGTAGCCTTGAGGGAGAGTTTATTGGATGTATTAGAGGTTGTTTCTGGGAGCAACATGTTGGACAAGCAACTAAGGAGCAGGCTATTTGGGATTCAGTATTGTGTAATGACAGGATTAAATAATGATCTCATAGTAAATGATCCTCTAAGAAAAAGTGAATACAGCATGCTAGAACTTCAAATTCAGTTTAAAAGTGAGATTTAGAGTCCCACATTGGCATTGTGGATTTAAACAAAGGCAATTACATAGGCATGAGGAAAGATTTGGACTGGGCAGAAAGACTAAAAAGGTATGACGAACAGTGGCGGATGGTTGAGGAGATAGTCAACACTTCCCAACTAAAATGAGGAGTAAGGAAGAAAAATTGTAATGGGGCAAAAACACATCCATGGCTAAGCAAAGAAGTTAAAGATAACAAAGACAAAAATTAAGGCATACCATATTGCAAAATCCAGTGGCAGGCTGGCCAATGGCATTCAATAATGTAGAGGTTATAGAAAGGGAGGAATTTAAAACATTCACCATAAGTGTAAAAGTACAGAGTAAACTACTGGGACTGAAGGCAGACAAGTCCCTAGGACCTGATAGCCTACATCCTTCGGTCTTAAAGGAACTTGTAGCAGAGATAGTTGATCCACTCATTATAATATTCTAAAAATTCCCTGGATGCAGGAAGGGTTCCAATAGATTGGAAAAGTGCCAATACAATGTCCTAATTCAAAAAAGGAGGGAGGCAGAAAGTAGGCAACAACAAACCAGTTAGTTTAACACCGGTTGCTAGGAAATTGTTGGAATCCATTAAGGAAGTAATAACAGGACGTCTGGAAAGTCAAAACACAATCCCATCAATAGTCAGCATGGTTTTTTTGAAGGGAAAACCACATTTGACAAACTTGAAGTTTTACAAAGATGGGATGGATGGACTAACTGAAAACTTTGCAATGTTGCTACTTATGGTGCCATCTTAGGTACAAGATACCCAGGTACAGATACTTAAATATTTGACACAAAATTGCAAGAATAATAAATCACAGTCCAGCACAAGAATAAAAAGAAAAAAAATACTCTATTTATAGTCGTTTCACTCCCATCCGTGCCAGCACCTAGCCTCCAGAGCACACTGGGCTTAAACTCGAGGTCTTGCCTTCCCCCAGTCCATGACTCACCTTCCCGTGCCAGCCACATAATGGGGATCCTGTAGATATAGTATATTTGGGCTTCTGGAAGGCATTCGATAACATGCCACACAATATAAGGTCACAATGGGTTGGGGGTAATTTATTCGCTTGGATAGAGGACTGGCTAACTAAGAGAAAGCAGAGTCTGGATAAATGGATCTTTTTCTGATTAGCAAGATGTAACTAGTGGGTGCCACAGCATACTGCAAATTTGCAATTTATATTAGTGACTTGGATGCAGGGATATTATAGGTATTACAGTAAATTTTCAGAAGACACTGAAATAGGTGGGAAAATAAGAAAATAAGAAATGCAACGAAGAAATAAGAAATTTACAAATGAATATAGATAAGTTAAATGAATGGGTCAAAATTTGGCTAATGAAGTTTAACATGGATAAGTGTGAGGTAATCCATGTTGTTAGGAAAAGTAGAAAGGCAAATTATCTAAATAGAGATAAACTTCATAGTGCTTCAGTGCAGAGAGACCTGGGTGTCCTTGTGCATGAATCACAAAACCAGTGTTCAGGTACAAAAGGCAGGCAAATTGAATTTTGGCATTTATTGCTAAAGGACTAGAGTATGAAGGGAGGGAAGTGTTGCTGCAACTCTGAAAGGTATTAGTGAGACCGCAGCTAGAATACTGCATACACATTTGGTCCCCTTACTGGAGGAGGATTGCAAGTGAATCTAAAGATACAAGAATTTTATATGAGAGTGGAGCTAGGGTGATGGATTATCACAAAGTACGGTGAAGCAAGCTCAAGGGGCCATATAACCTACTCCTGATACAATTTCTAATATTCTTTTATTGGCCCAGATCTCAATCCTCACAACAGCACACCCCATGCCAGGAAAGCGTGGATTACATTGAAGAGAATGAGGAGGATCTATTCTAGAAATACAGCAGACCAACAGGTGGGAAGAACCAGGCAGCGCTGAGGCAGCTTCCCCAGTGATCAAGTCCATGGGAGAAAGTTACAATGTAGGACAAGTCCAAGTAACCAGTACAGCAAAAAATATCCAAGGATGCAGCGGGCAGTTAGACTGTAGCCACTCCAGTCCTGCAGCAAAGTAGTGAGCTGGTTTCTGGGAAAGATCCCAAACTTGTTGCAGTAAATGGAGGTAGCAGAATCCTGAGCCAAATGTCCAGGCTCCACTTTCTGGAGCAGATGAGCAGAGAACCAGTACAAGATGGGTGAGGAGGAGGCTAGGAATCTAGTTAGAACCTGCACAGAAAGCAAGAGATTTATTAGTTATTTCATATCTTTTGAAACAGAAAGCACATTCACACATACATACATACTGTGGATCCTGGGAATCTGAACTAAACTTAGAAACTGCAAGAAATACCAAGGTCAGGCAGTGGAGAGAAAAAAAAAAAGGAGTTAATGTTTCAGATTGCTAACCAATCATCTCACACTTGAAGCTGCACTCATTTCAGTCACTCCCAGCCTAGGAGAGGATGGCCTAGTGGTATTATCATTAGACTATTAATCCAGAGACCCAGCAAATGTTCTTGGGTTCGAGTACTGCCATAGCAGATAGAATTTGAATTCAATTAAATAGGAAAATCTGGAATAAAAAAATCTAAAGTCAATTGTCAGGAAAAGACCAAACCACGTTGTGGCCAACATGTAACTCCAGACCCACAGCAATGTGGTTGATTACTCATTGCACTCTGGGCAATTAGGATGGGAAATAAATGTCGGTACTCTCATCCTGTGAATGAGTGAAAAAAAATGATTTCGTTAAGGGTCTCAGTTTAGTACAGACTTCTCTGCTTCTAATGACAGGTGCTCAAAATCATGGTGTCCAAATTAAACAATGTCACTAGCAGGACATGAAATTCAATGTCTCAAACCAGTTGCGGAAATAGAGTCCACGAATTAATTTAAAGGGGAGTTACTACTTTGAAAATTCAGAAGTTTTGACCAAGCAGGAGACAATGAGATTAGACTAGGTGGGCTCTTAGAGTATAGGAATTCATTGAAAAGTGGGATTAGATTTGGGGGCAATAAAGGATATGGATTGTTAAAGGGTGCGACTGAGGAATCATTCTGCATGTCCTCTTCAAGCACCCAATGTTTATCATTCTTTTATACAGTTCTCACCTGAATGTGCATGAAACAAATGCCAAATACCAGCAGTAGAGTTGCATGAACGACGTAGACAAACACTCGGTCTGTATGGAAGCTGGAGTATAGTTTGCTATCCTGTTCAATCTTTTCCAACAGCTTTCTGCGGGTCAGACCCAACTGTACACAATACCAGGGATCAATGATCACATATTGCCAGGCTGCCCACATTCCCAAAGCCACAACAGGAAAAGCCAGCAGGAAGTTGGGCAATTGGCGGAGTTGATAATATCTTAGGAAGCCCACATTCCAGTATGTGTCCTGAATGTAAGAGTATATGATGGGGTATTGGCGATGGCACCAGACAGGTGGATCAGTTTCCTTATCAGGGACACGATAACCTTTGTTGCCAGCTAGCTGCAGCAGACGCTGAGGAATGTCCAGTGCTGGATTCACAGTTGACTTACAGAATGTCAGGTATCCATAATACTGAAAAAGTACAAAGGGCAGCACAATCATCGCCGTTCCTGCAGCCACTAAGAGCACAGATCGAAGGATCAGATTCAACCATGATCTGTACGAGTCCTTTTCCATAACCTTTGTCTTGTGTCTCACATACAAAGAGCAAACCCTCAGCTGGGAGTAAAGCAGAAATCCTGCATTTACAATGCCATTGGAGCGTACTGCTGCAGACAGAGAAAACAGAATGCAACTGGTCACAAGCCAACCTTTCTCCAGATTCAGCATTCCACCAAAGGCTAGCAACACAAACATACTTTCAGAATAAGCTGCAGACATGAAGACGTTGGCTGGGGTCAGGCAGAAGAGAAGGCTGGAGAGAAAGGCCAGCCTGCGATCCCGGAGCACAACAACACCCAGATGGTACAAAACAACAGCTGACAGAACAAAGATCACAGCATTCAGCAACACTGCTGCAAGCAGCAGTCGACTGTGGAGATTGAGAAAGCGTTGTAGGGGGCTGAGCACCAAGTCTGCCACTACCCGAAGGCACACCGGAAACAATGGCAGAAAAGCAAAGTTATGCTCATAAATGTATCCAAATTCTGCTATAAACAGAAAGTGCTGTGCATCCCAGCGAGAAAAGCCACTTAACAGGATCTCCAGCACCTCGTCACTGATGCTTAAATTGCGTAGTTGGGGGGCTTGAAAGGCATCTGCTCTGTGGTCAGGTATCACATAATTAAACACCATCTGGTAAAGGAGCAATGAAGCAGGGTAAGTATTCTCTCCAATAGGTAAATACAGCATAAATCCAAACCCACCCATAAAACTGTCAAAATCAGAAATGACTGAAAGACAGCAAGAATATTAAAATGAGTTTAATAACTTAAAGAATCAAAGACATGCATCCCTGAAGAAGCAATACATTTTAACCAATTAACAACATCGAAAAAATTTACTTGATTATAATTTGAGTAAATCAGATTTTCTTTTTAGGTAGAGTAAAAGCCTGAGGGATCAAGTCACACAAAACATTTAAAAAAAAAAAAAATAGGCTGCTAGCCAAACTGTCCTGAAAGTGGTGAAGACGTTTAATAAGGAATTTTCAAAACATAGTGACCGTGTCTTCAGCTGCCCAGACCCAAAAAGTGAATTGTTACAAATCATATTCTCAAGAGGTCAAAATTAGAAGAGTGCAAAGTTATATGTTTTGGGTTGAAGAGAATTGTAGGGATGAGGAGAGGTGAAGGGATTTGAAAACATGAGTATGAATTTTAAAACTGATTCGTTTCTGGACCATGAGCCAACGTAGGTCTATGAGCAATGATATGATGGTGAGCAAATGAGAAGCCCATTTCAGGTTATTCTCTGGCTATGACTAGATATATAGGAACAGAATACAAGGTAAGATGGAGATGGTAGCATAGTGGTAATGTCACTGAAGAAGTGATCCTGCAAGCCAGTCTAATGCCATGAGGACACAGATTCAAATTCCAACCTTTGCACCTGGTACAGTCTCACAAAACTATCATTGATTGTCATAAAATCCATCAGGTCGACTAATTTTCTTTAGGGAAGGAGATCTGTCATCACTACTCAGTCTGGTCTACAGGTGACTCCAGACCCACAACTATGTGCATGCTCTTAACTGTACTTTGAAAAGGCCCAGTAAGCCACTGGATTCAAGAAAAATTAGGGATAACCAACAAATGCAGGCCTTGCTAATGACACATCTCATGAAAGAATAAATTTGATAAACAACAGACAGACAGTATAGGACATACAGAAGGATAATATAGTCAACTGTGCCAAAGGCTAAAAACAGAAGTACAAAGATAGCTTAGTACAATCAAATGAATATAATGTAATTTGTAACTTTGGTGAGGACTATGAGGGGTAGAAGATTGACTTGGGTGAATTCAAACATTGAAAGATAGAAATGGGAGGCTATAACACATTCAAATACATATATCCTAACATTGTAATTAGTTTTGCAGGTCCAGTACTAATCTCTAGTTCTGGACTTGGTGCGGGAACCTAAGTAACATATAGCCAGTGTGCTTAATCAAAATACTGTCAATACTGGCCTGCATCCAAGGGAAATGTCTGAGAAAATTCCAACATTTTAGCAGGAAATTAACATAGCCCATGTTACATGAGTACTACCACTTCTCCTTGAAGTGTTTCTTAAATCAGCTATAATGTTCATTAGAACTGAATGAGGATTAAAAGAGAGACTGACCTGGAAAAGGATGGACAGGATTCTAGAACAAATGGCAAAGTGCACAACCAACTGGAGGTCAGATGCCATGATGTTCCTGGTGTAGGTCTCCAATCCAGATCACAGCACTGATCCCCTGCACACTGACAGCAAGCAACTGCTATCATCTCATTATCACAGATTGGATTACAGAATGTTAACAGGAATATCCCAGAACAAAGTCACAGCAGAAAATGTTGGAGACAGTAAACACTGACAACACAATCAGGATCTAAAACAGAATTACATTATCAGCAGAAAAATTAAACATGATTCAAAGTGTGAGGCTTCTCCTTCTCATGAAAAGTAGTGATTCATACCATCTCCACACCTCCCGAGCCTCAATCTCACATGAACTCCTTCTGCCATCAACTCTTCCCAAACCATATCACACTCCACAATATTGAAGAAAACAGTTTCTCAATTTCTCCATGCAACTGCAAGCTTTCATTCCTGGCATCATTTGGCAAGCCTTCTCTGTACTCTAAGTCACTAATAAACTTCCTGGTGTGGGATCCAGAACTATAGAAAATACTGCAGTTAAGGCCTAAGCAGTGATTAGTAAAAGTTTAGTTTTACTAGTTTCGAGCTTCTGCACACACTATCCCTATTAAAAGGAAATTAACCCAATTTCCACATTTTATTAGTTTGACCTGTAATCTATAAAGATCCACACACAGGGGTCCCTCTGTTCTTGCATTTTTTCTCCCTTGAAAGATAGATTTTTAGATTATAGACACTTGTTATTCTTCCCAAAATGCATCTCTTCATGCTCGTTTACATTAATGTGCATTTATCACGTTTCTTCCTGTTGGATCAGTTGATGTCCCACTGATACCTGCCATCACTACGCTCACCGACAAATTTGACCAAGCTTCAAATCAGAATTAATTTTATGCTTGATAATAGTTTCTAGTAGCTTTCTCACCACAAATGTCACATTTCACATTGCCTGCTAACCTTTTCCCATGCTCTTTGTTATTATTTCTTTTTTCCAAGTTTCCCATTGCCTGATTTTGTGTTTTTATATTTGACATTTGCCTCCTTTTTCAGTTTTATTTTAACGTGTATTTCCTGTCAAAGAACGCCTGGCTTTGGATTGCCCATCTTTCCTCTTTATGGAAATATCATCGATTTGTATTTCTCTGCTTTGAAGGTTTGTGAAAGGGTTTGAGAGAGCAGATACTTACATCTACACTTCTGCAGGATTTAACCACCATAAATAAAAGACCATCATTAATAAATCTAACTTGAAATTCACTGCCACAAAGTAGTTGAGGTGAATAAAAAGATCGACTTAAGGGGAAGCTTGATAAAGAGGGTAAGGATCAGAAGGATATACTGGTTAGATGAAGGGAGGTGGTAAAGGGTTTGGGGGGGACCACAAACAGCTGCGTAGACGAGCTGGGTCGCATGATCTGTTTCTATGCTGCAAATTGTACTATATATGCAAGTCCAACGGGCAGTGCAAAGGAAGCATTGCAGTGCCAAGGGACTGCTACACTAAAGGGCCTATCTTCAAAACTATATTAAACTAAGTTCCACATTCTCCTTCAATAAAAGATCTCACGGCACTATTTCAAAAACACAGTTCTCCACAGGATCGTAACCACCATAAAATTATCTAATCAGCTTACTGATCTTTCTGGGATCTTCCTGTGTGCAACTGGGTGTCCAACAATCACTGCATAACAGTGACTAGACTTTGAAATAATTATTTGTTTTTTTTTTTAAAAATCTTTCAGCTATCTTACAGTGAAGGTCACTAGACAAACGTATGTCGAGACTACTGCGCCCTTTTCCGGCTTTAAATCGCCGGCGCAAAATCTGAACCTAGTCGCCCTACAATCGCCGTCACCGGAAGTTGCGCTCCAATCCCAGCAATAATATCCGGGTTGAAATCCGTGAAACAATGCGGGAATTGCCATCTTTGATACTGGCAAGCAGGCCTTAGCTCAAGATTGCTTACAATAGGATTTTCTTTCCAGATAAACAAGACCAGCTGAATTATATTTATTTGTAACCACCCAGAAAACCCTTGTACAAGTCAGTCTGCTGAGAATTTCCTCAGTGAACAATTTTTGTTAAATTTCTGAAGGGTCCCGACCCGAAACATCAACTTTCCTGTTCCTCTGATGTTGCCTGGCCTGCTGTGTTCATCCAGCTCCACACTGTGTTATCCAAAACATTGATCCGATGGTTTGTCTGAGATGCACTGTCTAGTCATCTGTAACTAGCCCAACATATTCCAGTAGTTAAAAAGATCGTTTTCCTCTGGAGCACCTGATTTCACGATCTTCCATTAATACCACACCGCCTTCACACACTTTTCTCTTCAATCAAATAACCTAAATATAGGTTACATTCCCGATGCAGAATCCTATGAGAATGTCTTACTCCATTCATTTGCCACAACATCCCATAGTTTAGAAGTCTGCTAGAGGGACGAAGGAGCCGGATTTAGAATCTGAATTAACTTTGGGTGAGACTGGTACAGCGGTTTCTGTTCCCATTGTTAGTGGTCCATTATTTCACAGAGTATAACAGCTAATTGTCCTTCCAGTTCACACTGAGCATAAAAGATAGGAACAGGAGTAGACCAAATGGCCCCCGAGAACTTTATCAGTCAACAAGAACAAGAACATCGATGTCTTTCTACATCATCCTCTTCTACCCTCACACCTTTTATTATTATAATACCAAAATTCTGTCAATCTCAATCTTGAGTATACTCAATAACTGAGTATCCATAGCTTTCTGGGATTCCGGAGAATTCTGAAGATTCTCAGTACCTAAACATTTTCATGCACAAGATGCCCAAGTCAATAACTCAAGAAAGCAGCACATTCACTCTCTTGCTCCATCATGGACACTCAATTTTGATTCCACTCCCATTTATCTTCTGTGCCACACTGTAGGAGTCTCTGGTGATTTGACAAATTAGTTCCACTGTACCTGAGGAAGGTGCAGTTCTCTGAAAATTTGTGATTTTAAATAAGCCTGTTGGACTGTAACTTGGTGTCATATGACTTCTGACTTTATCCACCCCTGTCCAACACCGGTACCTCCACATCATGACTAATTAGTCGTGACGTACAACTTGTCCAGTTTTGTCCGAACCGAAAGGAAGGGAGGAAAAATAAAACAAGTATTTGAATTTTTTTTAAAAATTTAAAAAACATTTTAAATTTGTTGATGAATCAAACATGAACAATAAAGAATTGTTGATGTTGGAGATCCGAAACAAAACAAATTGTTGGTGAAACTCAGCAAGTCTAACAGTATCTGTGGAGAGACAGCAGAGTTAACATTTCAAGTTCAGTGACCCTACTTCAGAACAGGCCATACTGTTGCAGCCACTGGACCAATTTTATCACCCCCACGTGTCAAATGACCGTCCAATCACTTTCCAGCTATCACCTACAAAATAACTGTTCGTCCTTGACATTTCTTTCTTCAGCAGTGAGCACAGGCCACTAATGCAAACAGGAGTAGCAAGTTCCCACATCTGAAGTTGGTACAAACTGTTCACACTCTTGATAAATTATAGTCCCTCATATCATAATGGAAGGGAGAACTGTGGCAAAGCCTTTAACCCTAAATAAATATGAAATTATGCTGTACAGTTTTTGACTTTAAAAAAGGCCTTGCCCACATTACACTGTAGTAGTTACTTACATTATGGACTAAACCGATTGAGAAAGAACTAGCTAAGGATACCTTAGTGTGAGGAATGCACAACATGGGCTGCCACCTTGCTCTACTTTTACATTGTTCTTCGCTTTCTAAATGTATTTCCTTCAAGAATACTTTCACACTTTGTGCTCAGTACCTACATTCTGGGGATCTATAATGAAACGAAGAGCAAAGGTCCATGTGATCGTGTGTACTTTGATGGGCTGTTCCACCACAGGAAGTATCACAGCTGTACTTAGTGATGCTCTGATCTGATGCCAACACTTTACTCAACAAAAGCAACACATCAGAGGCATGACATTAATTGTAACATTACACCCTACTCGTAAGATCCAATGAGACAGTAAGGTTGAACAAGAGGGGAATTTCCCCAGACAACAAACAAAAAGGTCATCCAGTACGGGTCTTTGTCTATAGGGCACCAAAGCATTGGTAGGTTCAATTAAGGAAATTACAAGTCTTAGAATTAGCTGGTTACTGATTCTAAAATGTTTATGCACAGAAGGGAACTTTGGAAAGGCCATAAATTAGTCGTGGATAACAAACCACTAAGGACAGCTGGTACCTCTGTACAAGTCCTTTATTTCCTGTATTATGACTGATAACCCCAGGCTTCATCTCTGCTTAATATACCTACACCCCTAATGTACAAATGCAGAATGAAAGTGTATATACAGAACAAAAATCTAGCTTTAGGATCAAGTCTGGTTATAGCTCTGATGTAGCAAGTAGAACTTTGTGACCTTCGATACCTTGTGCAATTATAATCAAAGTGTTACATGTCCAGGATAACATATGGTTATATGATGGTTGCTTATGAGGGACAGAAGTTAGTGGCATGTATGAAGTAGCAATGCTGCAGTTTGAACTGAAATTCCACATGTACCTTTAGAAAACCAGAAACTTCTTTGTGCAGGGACACTTCCCAAAGTCTGGCTGCTCTGAAGAAAAAGCATCAAGAGGAGTTTTTAGGTGTATTAGGAGTGGGTTAGATAAGTGAAGATGAAGACCTCCCTTCTCTGGAGACTGCAAAATACAAAACTGGGGGTGGACATGCAAGTTGTGGAAATAAGTACTTGAAACTCCAGGGTTCTTTTACTATCAGGCTGAGCTTGTCCAGACCAGCTGTCGCTAGTGGCTTGCTATCTATGTAAGTATTTCATAACTGTTCTATAACTCTGTTCTGTGAATAAGCAATTAATCCTCATAATTGCAACCTCAATGCAGGAATCACATGTAGGCCACAACACACATGCGCACTTCCTTTAAACTCATCAGTAAATCTGTTACAAGTCAAGGAATAACACTTGAATAATTCGCCATGCATAGTATCCATTTGTTAGTGTAGCACCATAACCATGACAACGTGCTGTCCATTCACTCTTTATTCTTCAGAGCCTTGCATCTGTCCTGAAGTAATATGCTATTGCAGAGGCATGGAAGGTTTTACGCCCCACTTACTTCTGTATCAGATCAGCACCTACATTTTGCATCTGGTATCAGAGAGGTGATTTATGACAGGAAAATGAATAAATTAGTCAGTACTAATATCTTGTATTATAATAATGCATTTCATGGAAGTGGATAATAGGTGGTTTAAATTAGGTCATTAGAATTTCCCAATGGAACTCTAAACAATCCGAGCTTAATGCAACTTAAATAGCACTGGGTTCATAAAATAATTATTGCTAGCTTGAAGATAATGTGTCAATATCTTAGCTGTCATTATTACAACCATGAAAATTTCTCCTACAAATAAAGCCACATGACAGCAAGAATGAAACAAATGTGGTACATCACCATCTACTGGTGTCATAGCATATGACAACAGACATGACAATATTGAAACTGTATCTGTAAAAATGACAAGAGCTTCCAGTTGCCCGCCACTTCAACACACCATATTCCCATGTCAACACGTGTCTCTGGCCTGCTGCAGGTCTCCAACCAGGCTCAACGCAAAATGGAGGAACACCACCTTATCGGTTTATGTACCTTACAGCTTTCAGGACAGAGTTTAACGATTTTAGAGCACGAATACTTCCTTCCATTCTATTACGTACTTCCACAATCCCAGGTCCCATCAAACAGGCTGCTTTCAACACTGCCAACCCATTTTCAACTCAGTCCTGACAATCACCTGTCTAGTTTTCTCCTTCCCTTACTATCAACAATCCCTTTGACAGCCTACCCTTTTTCCTCTGAGCTCCATCTCCATCGATCCACTTATGCTGTTCCCCGACCCCCATCTCCACTATCACCAGCATTACACCACCTTTCCAGAGTTGCTTCTAAAGGGTCACAGGATTCAAAACGGTAAGAGAACCCTCAAGTTCAGGTTTTATGGAATTTTCAGTTTGCATGGCCACCTCCAATTTGTCTAAACTGTAGCTTGCAGTCTCCAGAAAAGGGAAGTTTTATGTACTTAATCCACTCCCAATATCCCTGCAAACTCCTCTTGATATTATTTCTTCAGAGCATCCAGTCTGTGGGAAGTGTCCCTGCCCAAAGTGGACAAATTCACATTTTCACACATGACACTCCATCTGCCAATTTTTTGCCTACTCACAACCTATTTCCCTTTGCCGATTTATGTTGTCTTCACAACTTACTTTCCTACCTGATTTTGTATTATCAGCAAATTTAGCAGCCATACTTTCAGTCCCTTCATCCAAGTCATTGATACAAATTGTAAATAACTGTAACTAACAGTGCCCCAACACTGGCATACCGTTCATCAATCTGCCAAATTAGGTGTGACCATTATTTGCTTCCTATGAGCCAACCAATCCTCTATCCATGCTAATACATTACTGCCTTCTCCATTAGGGATTATACCTCCACTGATGTGGCACCTTGTGAAACACTAATTTTCTTTTCAACACTTATCCCCTCCAAGGCCCAAGTCATTTCCAGCCTTGATGACTGCTCCAAT